AAAATTGCAATCTGGGGCCCACCGAAGAATTTGGCTACTCAAATCTGCAATCACAAGACGCTTAGGTGTGGGATCTCTCGGTCTATCATCGCCTCTCTCCAGCGCTCCTTAAATGAACTGACTGACAGGGCAGAATTCGTTAAAACTTCATTTCATAGGAGCACTTCGAGAGACATTTATTTGGTGTTCATGTAAAGTATGCGCTTTCAACATAAAAGCTTCATTTGCGTTCGCAGTTCATCTGCACAAATAAAGTGAAACAATGGTATTTTGCCTTGCCTTTTCCACCTTACTTTTGAACAGAATTATAGGCCGATAACAACAACTTGGTTGACACTAAATATAATCCGCTTTCGTTCGGCCTGAACCACGTAAGGCCTGAAAGTGCTGCCAAAAGGGTTGTGTCAGCGCCTTAGCCATAAATATGAAATCAAGTTACAATGGGTGTGGACCAGCTAAACTGATATAAGTCCAGCAGAATTCCATCAGAAATATCCTCTTTAGGATGCGTCAAAATAATACCATTAGGTAACTTTCCGCCTTACTCAAGCCAACATTCCTTATAATTCGAACGCTTTGTTTACGGCTACCGTTCGCGCCCATTTGGTAGCGCCCCAAAAGTGGACCAGCTACTTTAAGTCTACATCGCCTCAGGGTACACTTCAACGACACAATTTTACCGCGGGTCAGATCAGAAGTCTTAAAAATTCACAGCGCTATAATTTTACGACACCACACCTACGCAGGCATATCTTGCAGTTTTGGTGATTCTCACTAGCTTTAAATTTTGTTTCGGGATGCAGTTGGTGCGAAGTCTAAACCAAGCAACACAATGAATGAATGAATGCTTGTTATTAGTTACTTCAAGCAAAACTTAAATTACAATCGCGAGGCACTTTAAAACGGTTCAAAAAACGATGCACAACTTTGGAAGTTTTGTGGTGCTACCTTGTGATTGCTCATCAAAGCAACTTGCTCGAGCATTGTTTGTCTTTGCAAGTGGAGAATTCGGGACATTGGGTGCACGGTGCTCCTTCCTCATAGGGCTTTTTTCTAAAAAAATTGCCTCTAAATGTGCAAAAAAATAGGGATGTTGTTCTTGTCGACTAAAAATCTTCATATAAGCAAATATGCAAGTAGACTCACGGAGGTTTGTACTGACAAGCCAGGAGGTAAATTGGTTTAGGCCATTGAGGAAATATATTGTCACACCGATTGATTGCGCAGCCAAGTTTTTCCGAGGTGGCCCATACCATCTACATAAATAATTCCAAGGCTTAAAAATGCGGGTCGTAGCCACCCAACCACCAGTGGTGAGCATAGCACAGGTCAAAAGTAGAGGTTTGTGGCATTAGAAAGAAACGAATAAATCACCTGAGTGTAGTGTCCGCAAGTTTTTCCAGAAGCACAGGAGTTATTATGGTAAAAGTAATATTTTTTTTCATCGGCCCAACCCCTGGACAGCCACTTAATGTCTTGTGCTGCACCACCAGAAACAGCAAGATTTTGTCCATAACCTTTGAATTCTGGATACTGCTGCGGGTTTGGATGCTGATATATGCATCGCTTGACCCAACTCTCCGCCAGACTCTCCAATTTTTTTTCGTATTTCTGTTTTTAAACAAGGCAAAATGGACATGAGGATATGGCAGCATTACAGCATCAAACATGATGTGGTGTACCACATTTAACGTAAATAAACACTCACCATCAGCATCATATTTGAGGCTGGTGGATCAACGGCGTAACGAGTATCTTTGTGAAAATTAAGAATAATAGTGCGCTCTTCGGGAGTGAGCGCATGAGCCAAGACGAACATTGCGGTTAGGAGGCCAGCGATCTTAATCATGATGACTAAAAGGTGATGCAATTGCAAGAATTTAAAAAATTAGTTGTAATGCAGAGTAAGTAGAGTATACTCGCCTAACTCACTTAAAGCCCTAAGAGCACATTGATATAGAAAGTTTGCGTCTTATATACTTGGTTTTAGGAAGGAAGTTAACAACTGCGCCAATGAGGTCGTTATAAGTATGCCAATCACAAGGGTTATAAAGCCTTAGAATTGTAGTGCTCTTCAAACACATGATGTGCATAACCTACTTCACTGTCATTTTGTTCCGTGGAAGGCAGAGCCTCGGCAACGTCCGCTCCACCTCTCTGTAAGACTGGCAACCGAAAGCTAGCCTGGGGAAGACATGCCGCTGGACCACATGTTAGGGTCTCACCGATTGAAATTATTTTGGTAATCCTAATAACAAATATTTAAGTGTTAAAACAAAAGAGCAAACGCTTAAGCTCATTTAACGCTTTTTGGCCAACTCTTGCAGTTAATTGTTACGATTTTTATGCGAGATCGTGATCGGAATGGAAGTTATGTCATGGAACATTGAATTTTCCTTAAAAGAGTTCAAGTCGAGTGGTCGCAACCCATCGTTTCTCGTGGAGGATTTGCATACTTGACTAGCATTTCGTTTAAAAGCACACCGTCTTAGCGCCATAACTTTTGGATGGCTTTTCTAGCATTGATGTGCCCAAAACCACAAATGCGACCAAATGGATGTATGCGCTTGATTACGTTGATTAACAGCCTAAAGACGTAAAGGCCATGTCCGATGTAATACACACTTGTTTAAATACGCCTCGTGAGTCAGAGGCGAAACTTCGATTTGCAGCTTCTTGGTGGAGTAGGAGCGGAAACAAACTACCGTCTTTCTCCCCTTTATTGCATTCTTCTCTCCTCTCCTCTTTCCTCCGATATGTACTTTGAATGATATGATGCTTCTCAAAGACGGCTGACTCGATAAAAGCCTACAAGACGAGAGAATAGAATGACTTTGAAGTTACACTTATGCAAGTGGTGCAAGCACGAGAGGAATTTGGCGACATCTTGAGTTAGTAAAGTCCATCGATGTCCCTTTCTATAGTCCTCTACGAATTCCTTTTGCTTGCGCAGTCCACTTATTCGTGCAATTCTCGGAACCAACGAGAGCGAAGGTGCTATGAGTTTGCTAATACAGAAAGGTCATAATAATCCACTTAACTTCCAGACAGAATTCGAAACACCTTCACCTCCTCTAATTGGCTGCAGCTCCAAACGAGCTCATCAGACGCACTGAAGGCCTGTAAGATGATGTCAGAAAACTATCATGTGAAGATCTGCATCGGAGTTAGCACTCTACGAGTCTGTCCTACTGTGTTTGTTTAGTCGCTTAATGTTGGGTTAGCTGCATCCATCGAATTGGATCTGCAAGATAGCTCATACAATTCCGCGTACAGTTCCTTTTCTCGGCCATAGTGTAATGGCTTAAGCCTTTCCACTGCGTACAGAAAGGAATATTAGCTGAGTTTGTAAATTTTGAGGCAGAAATGGTCCGAAAGGTCAGCTATCCCAGTAAAAGCAATGAGGCTACTTAAGCAACCGTCAATCATAAATACAATCGAATGATCAAAGTGTTGCGATGCCTTCCTCTTCCATTGAGCGACGTCTTGGATCAGTCATCACAAGTTGACCGGTGCTGCACGAAACCACTTAATGGTCAGTCGTTTAGACACCAACTTTTCTGCAACTAAGAGAATGTACTTTAGTTTAATCATACCTACAGCTCCATTCGCTTTAAAAGTAGGATTTGGAGGCTAGGAATTGGTTATTATTTGAGCTCGAAATTGGATGCTGGAGCCTCGGTATAATGCAGGATGGTAGTGGAAAAATAAAGGGAAGGATAGAGCGCAGAATCACTGTTAACATCAATAAATGGGTGAGGATGGAGAAACCTTGCGACGGCTTACGACGAGTGCCAATTTATTTGCTTTGTTTTCTGCTCCAACCAATGTGACATCCTGTTAGATATTAAAATGGATGATGCATGGTTAAAACCATACCTTTTGGATTAAAAGAAAAGAAGTAGAGCTTTTGATGTTTTCGAGGGCCAGCTCATACATACAACAGTCAGTCGAACAGAGTGGTAGACTTAACATCTAGCCATCCACTGCTGGAGGCGATGTGATGAATGCATCGTCTGTACCTCTTTAAATTCCATTTTATGGGGAAGGTGATTAATTATAAAATTCAACTCATTTACATGCGACTTCCATGAAGGTACTTCCCTTTTTTTACCACCACTACACTATTTGGCAGTGTCTTTTAAAATACGCATTCTTTGTAAATCAAATTCTAACCAAAAACTGTTTCTATTAGGCTAAACTTTTGAAATATATCAGAAGTGAACTGAATTTTTTTCCAGAAACTGTTCTTCTCGATCAACCTTAGTTAAGACTAACACAGCGCAAATCTACCAAAAGTGAGCCCTAAATTTGTGCTCATGAAGAGAATCCCAAACAACTTTGCAATCACACTTCAATGAGAATATCTACTACTGAAAATTTATACACTTCTACGACTGATCGTCCATTTCGAAAGGCGGAAATGAGCTGATCCCGTATATAGATCGGATCAAGGCACGTCTCCGACTTAAGGAGTGGATGTCTTGGAGTTCGTTTTGTTCAAGTCTTTTATACCCTTTTACACTTCTTTTATTCTCTTCACTTTTTGTAAACTTTTAAGTAGTACCTACTCGTTCATGGCTCGATGCACCGCGGAGGTGCAGCGTTCGAGACTTTGATTTCAACTTAACTCGCATTAAGTGGTTGATTACTGGAGTTTAAACTTGACCATCATTTGATGAAAGTGAGTTTTTGTAAAAAAAAACCCTGCTCCTATGTCAATCAAGTTGCTACATGCAGTCGTAAATCAAAAGATAATAGTGTCTCTACACTACCAAAGTCATTAAAATTTCTTCCAGCCCTTGTTAATCAACAAAGCGTGTAGTAGGCGCTACTGATTACAAAGTTACTGTAAAATGAACCCTATTCGTACTTTATGGAGAATTTTGTGAATGAAGGCTCGAGTGACTTGAAGGCGCTTTGCCTCTAACTCCCTTTTCACCCTTCTCCAAATGAAAAAAAGTTACCTGCCAAACCATCCTCAGTCATGCATTACCCGAGTGTTCTCAACAGAAATGTCGATTACTTTGGGCTTTTGAAGTAATCGGGGAAACTGCACCCCATTATTCTCCCTATTGAGCCTGTCCTGCCCGTCATCAGGCTGCACCTATGCTTAATGAGGTAGTTGCAATAAAGCATTGGATCTGCTACTGTAAGGATTTATGCAATACGCTGCCATCACTTCAACAAGTATTTACGCCATTTATTGATACTAAAGTCTTGCATATTTACGTAAGTGAGGAGTCTAGTAAACGCTGAAAAGTTTAAAAGCAATTTCTTATTTAAACCCGCGTAAAGACAGGTGAAATCTTTTGCTTATTCTAAGTGGTTATTACCCACCGCTCTTAAAAAGAGGAGGTAGTTTATTTCTTCTTTTTTCCTTCTCTAGGCTGGAGAGCTTTTTTTGGAGTGGACACCATTTATGGGGTCCATTTCATTAGAACACCTTACAAATCATATTTTTTGTGACCACTGCCTCATTTTGCTGATTGCTTCCCCTGAGCTCCATCAAATTGGCAACCTACAGTTTGATATCTGTGCCAAGAATCGTATTTCAAACCATAAAAATTACTAATGTGTGTTAGCTTACATTTTCAATAGCCTTTTTAGTGTGTTGACAAGGTGTGTTTAAAGGATTGCCTTGTGCACCATCCTGACAATGTGCCCAAGAATTTTGTTTTAGTGCTCTAACTGTAAAGTTAGATTCTGTTGTTAGACATCCTAAGCGTTCATTAGGTGCGAATCTTGGTGGAGAGTTCACCCCTGAATAAAACTATCATCTTGCACAGCTATTGTGAATCCTCCGCTGAATAATTATAAAATATGCAGCCGTAGTGGCTTTATGCGAAAGTGACCAGTGTAGATGTTTTCCCTATCCAAATCTGAACGTTATGCATTTAGCTCACAACAGTTTGAATTTTATCTTGAGGTGACTTAAACGAGAGTAATGCTGGATAAGTTCGTAAGCTATCTTATTCATTAGTAATCTTTATCGACCTTAAAGACCGTTTTAAAACTCTACATTAGTAGTTCTTGTAAGACTGTGCGGAATACCAAATCAGTGCAACGAATGCTGTTGTCTGGTGGGGCTCAATACCTTTCCTCTCTTCATTTTGCTTGTCAACAATGTGACCGACTTCTCTCGGCGTTTCAGCTATTACTGTGAGCGTAACTAACATTCTTATACTTACAGCCAAAATTAGCTACCACAATTTTTTGTTTAGTTAGGTTCCCTTTGTGGACATCAGCTTTTCAGACGACCTTAACACAGATTTTGGCAGTTTTTAGAATCGTTTTAAACTATTGCACTTTGTTTTATCTTCTTGCCAGATCGCATTGGGCGTTGAACAAAACCGTCAAAGATAGTTCATTGCGAGTCCATCAACCCAATTAAGTCTCTGATGCTAAATCAATGCTACTCATTTGACCTCAGTAGCATCCTTTCTTTACAGGGCATTAAGAGCATATAACTCTAACACTGCGCAATACAACTAGCTGATTGATCGGAAAATAGTCCATTTGAGGTCTACCTACTTTTTACAAAGACTTACATCGATGGACTCCAGGTTATGCTCTCCGTCAACGATTAACCAAGTTATTATTAAATATTTTACAGAATAAAATAAGATTGAGGTGTCCTTCCAGGAGTATTTTGTTCTAAATCTCATCATCCTTAAGCAGTATCACTTAGCTTAATGAACAACAACTAACTAGCCTGTAATTATTTGATTGTTTTTGTAACGCTCACTTATTTATGGTAGAATTAGGTATTTTAAAAATGTTCTTTAAGGCCCTCAGATAAGGTTTCTAGGACTAAAATGTCTAACACTTAACAAGTTAAATGAAGTG